GAAATTCATTTGATGACCAAGGTTCGACTTTGAATGTATTCTAGCGATTGTTACCTCGGCTAAGAGAGAGGAAGGATTCACTCTAGCTTCACCTAACATATGAAAATGATATTGGGCAGATGTTGGTTGGCATTTGTCGCTTATCCATCAAATAAAACTTGGCACATTATGAAAGTGACTGAATGAGGATTCCGACCACCCGCGAAGATAGATAAATGAAGTAGTTGGTATCACCACATATTGCTCTCTTTAAAAAGCTCGCAAAAGTCGACTAGGAGACTGATACTTATCATTAAATCCATGATGAAATTAGACGAAAACTGGCATCTTTGTGGAGCGTCATCGGTTGTCATCTCCTCAGGACAATTCCCACCGGCCCCTACGCGACTGTATTGTTCCGAGTAAGACGTCTTCATTAATGTGATATACTCTCCCGGCACTCCCATCACGGCCAAACATTGTCACAGCACTTCTCAGTCGGTGGAGCAAGAGACTGCCTTCAGGTCTAGAAACATGGGAAATGTTGGACACCGATAAGTATTCTGATATTCCATAATATGTTGGGGGTGGATGTATGACCAGTAAACTCCTCTGAGCCCAGAGCCTGTCTGGTTCGATTCTCATGAGAGCCACTCAGTCTGCGCGTTATTTTCGAACTGTAGTTGTTGTCAAGTTAATCTCTCTACGATTATCACACGAAGACTTCTCTCCCACCTTATGAACTAGAATAGTCAACAAATTACACTACTCCAGCACTAGCATGTCTGACTCCCACGCACTACATAATATCTTGGCTAAACCAGGCGACAATTCATCACCATCATCCGTAACCACTTCTGGTGCCTTGGTTTCAGGTCCCGCTGCCTAGCCTCGGTCGTAGTTAGAGAACCGATGCCTACATCCTGTTCAGTGTTGGGCAAAATGACACTACCAGATAAGTATTAAGAATAACGTTTATCTAAATGTATTAAACGCACTTTTCCTGCAGCTGACTTGCAACTAGTTTTTACCAGCCGAAATATGACTAGACAATGCGTCAAGGATAGATTACCGCTTTTGTCCACATCTATGTGCATTTACTCTTCTACCTGCTCTTGTGGAGCTGTTTATATTGGGCGTTGTAAGCGTAATCTCCAAAAACGTGTAGCTGAACACTATCCGGTTTGGTTAATGAAAGGCGAACGTAGAACTGCGAAGTCGTCTATTTGTGATCATCTGTTAGAGTCTGGTAATTTAGCCCCACGTGACTCATCTTTCAAAGTTATCTACATGGCACAATCGAATCAATCCAAAAGTTCACGCTTTTTTCACTTATGCATAGCCGTAGCTTTAGCTATACATGAACAGATACTTAAATCATGTGTTCAAAAACGTTTTGTCAAACCCCTTTGTTTACTTTGGTCATGATAATGTTCTTTCTAGTTTTTATTTTATTTTAGCATTTGAATTCTTTCCACTTCATATCACATCTTCATTCTTATTGTAACCCTAATTTTTAAAATCTATAGACAACACTTGACATTTTTGATATCAATTCAATTATAAAACAATCTTTAATAATTTTGTAACTTATCCACTTCAACTCTACCCCTTATAACATTTCAATTATCGTTATCCTTACCACATACATATGTATATTGACTGAGCAATTATTTAGTGCTACTTATCAACCTTTTTCTGTAATATAAATACGACTGTACAGCTTGAAAATGAAGTCGTTGAAAAGAAATTTCTTCACTGAACAAAAAACGGTGTTTTTACTTATGAATAAATGGGTATTAGCCAACTGGGCATCTGTCTTCTCCTATCTCTGTCTGTCTGTCTTAAGCGTATGCCGCGAGGGCCCATGACTCCCAAGTAGTTCCGAGGCTAATAGGCCAGCACCATAAATGACCACGGAACCAGATGATAATCGAATAGAGATAAAGTTTACAGCATGTATAAGTGTCACGTTTAGTGAATCTGATTTTTGAAAGCAATAGCTTATTAAACTCAAAATTCAATCCATCCTATTAAGTGGCTTGATTTGTGTAGGCGGTTGATAACACAATATGCCCCTAGCCTAGCGAAAGAAAACGTCCTGTAATAGTGTTTCCGAATTCGACCTATCTTCTGCTACAAAAAGATTAGAAAGTGTTCGAGGACTGTATACCTCTTATTATAGACCTCAGCTATGAAAAAGCCAACACGCCATATAAGGGGCATAATGCGGGTGATAGTATCTTCATAAAGTTTACATTTATGGATGGAAACCCTCCCAAAAAACGAAGACTAGTCGAGATGCTGCAAGCCATATCCAAAAACTAACGTGTTGCATCGCGACCACTTAAGATATTGTCGATATAATGGCAGGACTGGCGTTAATCTGTAAACCGGTAGTCGACTAATTTTGGTATGAGTGAAAGAAACATATTAGTATAGTTAAGTACACATTATTTTTAGTCAAACGCGTGTGAAAACGATTCCCGAGAAATTCATTTGATGACCAAGGTTCGACTTTGAATGTATTCTAGCGATTGTTACCTCGGCTAAGAGAGAGGAAGGATTCACTCTAGCTTCACCTAACATATGAAAATGATATTGGGCAGATGTTGGTTGGCATTTGTCGCTTATCCATCAAATAAAACTTGGCACATTATGAAAGTGACTGAATGAGGATTCCGACCACCCGCGAAGATAGATAAATGAAGTAGTTGGTATCACCACATATTGCTCTCTTTAAAAAGCTCGCAAAAGTCGACTAGGAGACTGATACTTATCATTAAATCCATGATGAAATTAGACGAAAACTGGCATCTTTGTGGAGCGTCATCGGTTGTCATCTCCTCAGGACAATTCCCACCGGCCCCTACGCGACTGTATTGTTCCGAGTAAGACGTCTTCATTAATGTGATATACTCTCCCGGCACTCCCATCACGGCCAAACATTGTCACAGCACTTCTCAGTCGGTGGAGCAAGAGACTGCCTTCAGGTCTAGAAACATGGGAAATGTTGGACACCGATAAGTATTCTGATATTCCATAATATGTTGGGGGTGGATGTATGACCAGTAAACTCCTCTGAGCCCAGAGCCTGCCTGGTTCGATTCTCATGAGAGCCACTCAGTCTGCGCGTTATTTTCGAACTGTAGTTGTTGTCAAGTTAATCTCTCTACGATTATCACACGAAGACTTCTCTCCCACCTTATGAACTAGAATAGTCAACAAATTACACTACTCCAGCACTAGCATGTCTGACTCCCACGCACTACATAATATCTTGGCTAAACCAGGCGACAATTCATCACCATCATCCGTAACCACTTCTGGTGCCTTGGTTTCAGGTCCCGCTGCCTAGCCTCGGTCGTAGTTAGAGAACCGATGCCTACATCCTGTTCAGTGTTGGGCAAAATGACACTACCAGATAAGTATTAAGAATAACGTTTATCTAAATGTATTAAACGCACTTTTCCTGCAGCTGACTTGCAACTAGTTTTTACCAGCCGAAATATGACTAGACAATGCGTCAAGGATAGATTACCGCTTTTGTCCACATCTATGTGCATTTACTCTTCTACCTGCTCTTGTGGAGCTGTTTATATTGGGCGTTGTAAGCGTAATCTCCAAAAACGTGTAGCTGAACACTATCCGGTTTGGTTAATGAAAGGCGAACGTAGAACTGCGAAGTCGTCTATTTGTGATCATCTGTTAGAGTCTGGTAATTTAGCCCCACGTGACTCATCTTTCAAAGTTATCTACATGGCACAATCGAATCAATCCAAAAGTTCACGCTTTTTTCACTTATGCATAGCCGTAGCTTTAGCTATACATGAACAGATACTTAAATCATGTGTTCAAAAACGTTTTGTCAAACCCCTTTGTTTACTTTGGTCATGATAATGTTCTTTCTAGTTTTTATTTTATTTTAGCATTTGAATTCTTTCCACTTCATATCACATCTTCATTCTTATTGTAACCCTAATTTTTAAAATCTATAGACAACACTTGACATTTTTGATATCAATTCAATTATAAAACAATCTTTAATAATTTTGTAACTTATCCACTTCAACTCTACCCCTTATAACATTTCAATTATCGTTATCCTTACCACATACATATGTATATTGACTGAGCAATTATTTAGTGCTACTTATCAACCTTTTTCTGTAATATAAATACGACTGTACAGCTTGAAAATGAAGTCGTTGAAAAGAAATTTCTTCACTGAACAAAAAACGGTGTTTTTACTTATGAATAAATGGGTATTAGCCAACTGGGCATCGACTAGCCACCCACAGGAAAGTTATTGGATCTGCGAGGATGAATACGCTATCTTTACCCAACGTATGGACGACATTTGCACACAGGGGAGAACTTACGTTCAGACCATGTGAATATCATTTCCGTCATAATTCAGCAAGACTAGCATTTGAACCCAACAAATGATCTACCAAGTCATGCCGTGACAATTTTGACATGTACACTCAAGCTTATATCACCTGCTGATCTCTCAGTGCGGTGAAATCCCGAGCCTAAAGAGCTTATCACGACCAGTAAGTGCGGCAAGTAGTGACGAAAAATAGAAAGCAACAAAATTCATTTCTATTTCACCCAGTGGAGTCAACACTGAGGGAGGAGGATTAACATCGTTTGGGCTCAAATGCCTGTGACTTGTATCGAGGCTTTTATATGACGCGATGGAATGAAGACGACACCTGCATCATTAAGGTCAGAGAAAACTACATGACCTATATTATAGATTGGTAGATAGGCACGAGAGGCTAATGTCGAAGTGCTAACCGGTGACAAAAAACATGAACGAAACTTGGTTGCATTGGAACTTTAATAATTGACTGGTACTCTCGAACACATGCATAGGCACTGAACATTCAGCCACAACTTAAACCGTTTCCCAGTTGGAGGGACACGATGATGACTAGACTTTATCTGTCTTCCACGGAGAGAGAACAAAATGCGGATATAAAGATATATTTACACTATGTACACGGCATAAAAACTCAGTGTTTTCTTGTGCTATTCAATACAGTAAATTTTGTCATTGGCTTACCACCAATACCACATGTGCCAACACCAACACGACCATCCAGTGCTTCAGGAGATGCAAATATGCTTTTTTTAGTCTTCCCTGTTTTTATCATTTTCTTGCTGAAATTAAGCCAGCGGTTTTTCTCTTTTTCGCAAAATGATTCGATCTCTTCTTCTTTTTGGAGAAGGCGTTGTTTTTTGATTTTCTTTTTCTCAATGGCGCGGTTTTTTGTCTCGTGTCTGTAAATAAAATACTGTGGAATATGAACCTACTTTTTCTTCTTCACAATGGGTGTGACCGTGGTAACGGGTTTCAGGTGACAGAGCTGAAAAAGAAACACACTGACAACGTACATCAAGAATGGAGGTTGTGTGATATGCATTGCACATATATCTTAGTAGGTTTTATTACACCGAAATATTTACTCACTCTAAGTTGCCCCGGCAGCTGTAGATTGCGAAAATCTCCCACCATCAAACGAACGAATTCAAAGTCCCATACGTACCGTGCTTGAATATATACAAAAATTCAATGGCATCCGCAAGTGATAAGACAGTATGACAAACCAATCTTAAAGGCTGACATTTTCTAACTGAAACGAAAGAACCCTAACGAGTTAGATAAATCTCATTTAATTCTTTTATAAAGTCACAAAAACCATAGCTTATAGAACGAGTTAACAAACTTAGGGCTACTAGGATAGGAAACACTAAACTCACTCAATTGCCTTATGCAGAGGAACAACATACTGGTGCCTTAGCTAAACCTTAGTGCTTAAACGCATATAAAATACACACGAAAACAGGAAATACTCACCTGACATACGTCTGTGGTATCGTACATATCAAAATTTACCACACAGCTGGTGTCCCCAAGGAACTCGAGAATGGTCGCGCGATAATAACTGTGATATCACTCAATTAAGTAAATGAACTTACAGTTTGTCACGAGAGCACATAGCCATGCATTGGTCACCCACATTCCATGTTATTTCTGGAGTATCACTTGATTTTCCCAATAGTTCGAGAGACAATTTGATGACTTCCTCAAGATCTCGTTTAAGTTGCAAGAGTTCCTCATTATCATGATCCAGCTCAAGAGCTGCTTCAACCTTAACATTGGAAAATACAAAGATGCATTATCTTTACTTGTTGTAGCTGCAGCTTGTGGTTAAGAAGGCTCAGCTGAGGATCTTCCGCCATCGTCACAGATACTTTCGTTTAACGCGCCTTACCACTTGTGGAGCACTTCAAACAAACGTTCACATAATAACCACTATCACCGCTTCTAACTTGCCCAACTAGCTTCATTATTACAGTTCAATTCTATCCGTCATCAATAAGTCTTAGGTCTCCCAACGCGTTTAATTTAGTGAATCCTACAACCACAGCAGAACCTTAGTAAGGTCCAAGCTTTCGTTAGAAACTGGAGTTTTTAAATTTCATTGGTTCTCCGCACAACCCCCACGCGTCAAAAGACCCATTTTCGCATTTAAGTGAGTGTGAGCATACAGATGTATGCCTCTCTTTATGAATGGAGAGTTTATTTTAGATGAAGACCTCAGACTTCGTACCGCATCACAACGAGGTAGGTGTTGGGTGTTTGGATGACTTAGAGTGGCTTCGAAACAGTTGAATTGCTCCTCAGTGTTCTCCCCCGACGTTCCAACCGACCATCCCACGAGGTGATCGAAGCGTCGTTCTTCCAGAAGTTGCTTAGTACATCATTGGTTCCTTGAGGAGCGCGTACAGTCAATCTAGACAGTTGTCTTGTGTCGTCTACAGCCAATGTCTTTTCTATCACTTTGGCGTTCGTCTCCCACCTCTGTCCAAGTCCCTAAATTTGATGATTCCTAGTTTACAATACACTGGTAAAAACATGTACGGACAAAATGGAGACGTGAGTGGCTGCACCACTGACCATATGGTGAAATATTACCACCTGGATTGTTGAATCCTGGTATCCTTCCCGCGTACCTGTTAGACCCGTCAGACAACCAGTTAGGCGTAGCTTCGTAGGGTCTATTCAACACAGGACGCTAAAGTCACTCTAAGCTACTTAGTAACTATTGAGTTAAGAGGTAGCCAGGTAGCGCGAATTGTATCTTCTTTCTGATTTGTAAGGCTCTCAGTCCAGTGAAGGTTACTGAATTATGAATGCTTCCCTGCTTCACTTGCTTCCACTATCCTTTCAGAACGATCATTCAAACTACACCAGTGCCCCATGTGAGTTGTTGGTCGGGAATATCATTAATTCTGATAGAAGAGTAGGCTAATAAATCGGTGAATCTTATTTGTTCATAACATGTCTGTTTCATTATGGCTAAATGTAGCTTTTCTGTTTTTCGATTGTATTTTTCGGTTTTCAGTTCATATAACTGTAAACACTGTGCGATTTATCAAAATAAAATCTTATCTATAATGGAATTATATTCTACCACTGTGCCCAAGTTTTATACTTATATCACTATTTTTGTTCGTCCCACTTTCAAGTTTGATGTTTGCCCATTACAATGTCTGGTCTGGTCTAAAAACTGGTCCTGCAAATGTACATCCTTTGGTAATCACCAAAGTTAGATTGCCGGAGTTTGATCCACATGATCCTGAACTACATTTTCCCCCACTAGATCCGCACTTCGATAAATGTAGCATTAGGTCTGAGAACACCGCGAATACAGACGTTTGTCCTCGGTTACCACATTAGATTTGCACAGAGGTGTAGGAAATCACACCGGGATTCCGTATTGAGTTTTCCAGGCTCGTTTCTGGTAAAAGCAAACTTCTCCACGCCACAAGTGTTGGTAGGTAACAACTGTAAGTGACTAACCCAAAGCCAGTTTCCTCTGAATTACTGTCGTTGGGTGTTGAACGTGCAAACTGAGGGGATAATAGTGTGTAGTTGATATAGCTTTAAGTACTCTGACTTAAAATTTGTGATAAGAGAAACTAACCCACTGATGGGTTATGCGATAACTGGAGGCAATAACTGGCTTTCATGAGCTTTTTGAGGAAGTACACCTACATTTTTGACGATAGTCTTCATCATTACATACAACAGTCACATAGTGTATCACTTATGCGTCATCAATAAGAGCACCTGAAGCAGAAGAACTACATAAAATAGATTTAGATTATGTAGTGCGAGAGTATTAGATCCTGATATTACCCAATTTCACATCTTTGACCGCAGTGATATAGAAAACTTTGGTGTATCCAAACCATGTTAAATGTATTTAAGTGTTAAGATCTTCATTGCTACGGATATGGTCTGATACCATTTAGGATAATATTCGACAATGCGGTACCATCGGATAATTTATTTTCACTTCAGATTACTATATGATACTGATGAACATCCTACAAACGTAGCTGAATACCTCGAATGGCCATGCAAATATCTGCACATTTCTGACAAGCCAAAGTGTTAGCTTTATTTTTCACAGTAGTACTGATGAATACCAGCCGGCTTGTGATAAGAAATATAATTTTGACTAAATCGCCTTATCAGTCCTATCTCTTCACACTACTGTAAGCCAACAGCATTCGGAAATTGTTTTACAGACTTCGGCTCCGAAGGTCTATTGAAACTATGTCTCATCTACGCAGTGCATGCGTTTGCCACGGTTGACGGAATGATTCATGAACTGTTCAGTGCTTATTCCCATACATCAGCATTATATTATTACGAGATGAAAATTCCTATGTCAAAAAGTAGCAGCTGCGGTGATCTGTCGTTTGCAATGAAAAAGCTGCGGTTAAATTTCTGAATAAAGGTAGGCTAATCGATATTACCTGTTCAAAAGCATTTTCGTTCTATACTCGAACGGTGACTGGTGTTCTGCCTGTAGATTAGTAGCTCAGATTGCCACCCGAAGACAGAAAGAAGAAGTTGAGAAATTATAAAGGACCTACGTAAGCAGAGAAAGAGGAGCGGCCTACCAAAAGCCTCATGGATGGAATATGATTTCACCTGTGTCAATGTAGTTGAAGATTGAACGATCAATTCATGGTTGTTTGCTCAAAACCAACTTCCCCAATTTTCGCGGAGGCATCAATACGACAGTCATCGTCTCATCGGTCGCTGTTCAGAAAGAAGAGTAAAAAAACTGTCAGAAGTAATATTGTGATTTATTATTGTAATATTTGTTCACAGACCTTAGTAGAAACATTTTTTATATGTTGGTGTTACAATAAAGAATTCTCGAGTGGCCAATCGGTGTTTTGGTTTTTTCGTCCGTTATTACTAAGCGTTTCTGAGAAACTTCAAGGAACAGCGTGAGCCCGAGCGTAGCAAGAGCTGGGCATTAACGGTTTACGAGACGTGGCTGACAGTTTCTGACGGTACGCGTCAATTTCTGGCGGATTCAGACAGTTGGTGACAGTTTGGATAGTCACCGTTCATCTTTCCTGGTGCCGGTCAAGTCCTCTTTGAACAAGCAATATCTGGAACGTTTTGGAATTGGGTCAAGTTCAACAATGCCTGGGTCAAAGAAGGGACAGAGCGTCTTGGATGCAAACAGGAAAGTAAGTCATGGTGACTTGTCTGTTAATTGTAACGATGTGTCTGATGTTAAGCATGACATGGTTGATGTTACTGTTTCGCCGTTCAGGGATAATAGGAACATCAAACTCCCTAAATTTGAACCACGGTGTTTCGATGGAAACCCGGCTGATTATTTACAATTTGTAAAGGAGTTTGAGATCATGCTGAGTAGTTTTCTATTAAGTGATGAATTGAAATTGATGTATTTGATGAGGTATTGCACTGGAGATGCTTCAAGAGCTATACAGTGCTGTAAGTTTATGAAGCCGAAAGAGGGGTACTATGAGGCTATGAGCATATTACGTCAAAGGTTTGGAAGACCTTCAATGATTGTAAGGAACGTATACGAAGCTGTCAAAGGTAACGGCAGTCAACTTCAAGATGACTCCAAGGCACTTACTGAGTTTTTAGATAATCTTATGACTTATAAGAATACCTTGATTTCTATGAATTGCATGAGTGACCTCAACTCGAGTTTAATCCTAGAGGTAATAGCAAGACGCCTACCTACTCGACTGCAAAGGAAGTGGGTGAAGATAAGCTCCCGTATGGAGGATGAGGGTATCGAGCCAAAATTTGATGATATCCTGAAACTAGTAAAAGATAGTGTCAATCAATCTATGAGCAAGTTTGCCAGTATATTGAATCTCACCCCTAGAATAGAGCAGTCTGAGGGTAAAACGCAATCATTGATGACGAATAGGCCTCAGAGAGGTGGATATCGAGAAGGCTCCATGATGTCTAGTAATGCATATAGACCTAGTGAGTGTAACAGGTTTCGTAGTACATCCTCAACAGATAAGTTACAAGATGCAAGACAAACACGGTTGTGTTTTACACGTTTGCAAGAGGTGCATACAAAGGTGAACTGTGAACCAGTGAGCAAGTTCAGTGATAAGCTAAATGTAAACTCCAGGCCTGACTCCGAATTGTGTGACGATAACGGTGTGCGAAGAAGTCTGTAGTTGCAACTGGTAAGCCATTGTTGAATAGAGTGTCACAGAATAGAGTTATTGCTTCAGAGTCCAGTTCTGACCCTACAAGTTTACAAGGTATTACTAGTCAGAGTGAAGTTATAAAACCTTTAAGGATTTGTGAGGAGGAACCAAAATTGTCTACTTCTGTTATTAAAGAGTTTGAAAATGATGAAGTTGACGGTAAAGTGAATATTCGTGATAATGATCATGATACTTCACAGTTGTCTTTGGTTGATCATGATGAGATGAGGGATATGCCTACTACTGCTAAGTTGAACAAAGGTTCTGTACAACTTGAACGTGA